TTCAGTAGCTTCAGTATGGGTAGTTATTGGAAAACCCGCCATGTCGAAAGCAGAGGCCGACTTCGATCAGCAGTGTAGGCACGAAACTGTTAGAAGGTTTGTTTGCCCCTTTGTGTAATATAATTGCTAAAAATTACCCTTGAGAATTGGCGTATTTGTTAAAGATAACTGAAAGTTTTCAGAATTACTGATACCAGAACTCTATTGAAATATTTGTATCTCCGTAGAAATGCATCCCAATTGAATTGTGGAAGATAGCTTTTTTATTTTTCATATTTTGAATATACTGTACCAGATGGACATGGTACCTTCTGTAATTAACCCTTCCTGGTAGGCTGGTATAGATTTAGTTGTACTTATTTCGAGCCTCTTTATTTTAGTGTGTGTGTGTGTGTACGCATACGTGTTTCTATGATGGATATATGCGAGTAGATGTTAGATAAACTAAAGAAATAAGAGATCCAAAAATGGCCTTGTCTATTCCAGTCACTTCTTACCTGGAGCACTTATCAGTTGAGTCTGGTTTTGTGAAAATTAAATTATTGATTGAATTTCGATATTATTTTTAAATCATTGTGGAAAGCGGCATGAAAATAATGGTTGATTAAAATTTTAACCGCTCAAGTAATAACCCAAATTTTGTATATTTATCATTTTCTTTCACCAGGAATCGATTAGTAGGTCCTTGATGAACTTGCCCACTTACCCATGGATAGAGGGAAGGCTGAAAAATCAGGCCATTTCAATAGATGATGGCTACTATCACTTCGTAGACTGCACGTTTGAGAAGTGGAGTCTCGACTAAACACGGAGACATCTGGTCGTGAGTTTGCTTTATATATAACACGCCATGCTCAAAACATTATATATATATTTTGCGGTATTACAAGTTCTTGGTGTGTTTAATTTGTTTTTGATTTAGACGTGTTAGTGTGATCCTTAATGATCATTAATTACAAGTGCAATGTAACATATTTTTTTTATATCTTTTCTGGCAGGGTGCTCTTGCACAGCGGAGGACAAATTTTAAGGTCGATCAATTCCTGTTGGCACCAATGGTGATTACTGATAAAAATTATGACTATCGATGATGATTAGATTATGGTGGCAAACATTAGATATGCATGAATCGTTATCCTCTTACATTTGTGTATTGCAAAGAAATGATTTTAAATGGATTCTGAAGGGATGAGCAAGTTTTCAAGCAGTTTTAGAGGGCATACAATATGTACCTTTTTTACAGGGCGAAAGGTTGGTCAAAATATTGAGTGCGAAATATATTTGTTGAATGGAAACAGGTCTTAACTGAATCAGTGGTTTAGCAAGGCATGCGCAATACCGCTTTGAGCTTCCGATAAAAAATACACACATCGAGCTTTGCTAGTGAGCATCTAATATCCAAAATTATTATGTAAAGAATTTGTCAATTGCAAGGATTTACAGTAATTAATCTGATTTGTCTGTAATTTATTTGCATTTTTTAGCCAATTCCAATTCCAATGCCATTTTGGAGGGACCACATTGAGTCGTTCGAGGGGACGCCACCACAATCACACTTAGGGTTAGTGCTATTGACAACCTAATGTTATAGTTCATGGTGTGGGAGAGAAAATTATGCAAGGTTATAAATGCCGAGACTTTCTAACATAAAACAACATTATTGTTGAAGGGTCAGTTTGTGAGTTTAAGCTCATACGACATGAATGAATTGCTTGCAAGTTAAAATTTAGTACAAATTTATGATGCTATGTTGGGTAGATTGTTAGGTCATTATTAATCTCTTGCTTTTGAAAGCATGATTTTATGGTGACCAAAAGACTTTATTTTGACGCTTTTTTTGACTGTTGGATATTTTATCATGTTGTGGGACTCCTATTTTTGTGATGAATTCACATGAAGTAATTTCAAGCTAGTTTTAGAAATGCTTGCAAATGTACGTATGTGTGTTCTGCGAGTTTGGCATATATGTGTATAAGTTTGGACATATTTAAATTAACATTTTTTAGGGCCGACAAAAAAAAATCACTAATTCATAATTATAGACTAAACTCGGGCCGGTTGTGCACGATGGCCCACTAGTATACAACATATAGTAATACAAATACCAAGCCACATGCAACTTTTTGATGGAACAAAAGACTTTCTTTTGACGCTTTGGTTGTCATCTTATGAACTCACAAAAATTTTATCTTAAGATTGTAGTTTGTGTGGTTTGTGAATATAAAAAAGATGGCTTAAGAAGAATGAAGAAAACGAAATAAAAATCAAAGTCGTAATAATTACGTTCTCCTTAAGACGAAATTGCCCCGTAAAATACCCACGGTTAATGTCCAACGCCTCCAAGATACAACGACTTTCGACTTGTATATAGTGGTACTTCAAATATACAAGCCTTCGGCGAACAATACCATTGTTTGGAACTCTCAAGACTCAACGAAAAAATCCAAAAATACAATATGTTTTATGAACTTGAAAAATGTAATGCAAGAGCTCTTCACTTTTCAAGTTGTGAATGTGTGTATTTATAAATGTAGGAAAACACCACCAAGAGGTTTAATGTAGTGCCCCAAATCGTTAATAAGAATGACATCTCATTTTATTTAAATTTGTGCAATATATTACATTTTAAATTTCTGAGCTCGACAAGTCTTCCGAGATTAATTAGAATTCTCGTATATTTTAATCAGTTTAGTTAATAATTTATTTAGACATTTGATCTATTTAAATTATTCGAATTTTCTGATATTCGTTAGATATTCGAATATTCGCCGGTTATTTCATTTATTTTTCGGATCTATCTAGCCGTTTTGTGTCCGATTCTTAATCGGCCCAAGTTGTGAAATTCTCGGCCCTCTTAGCAAATATTAAGCCGGCCCATATTGAAGCCTAACCCGGCCTTTAGCATACACATATCTATATCTATAATAATATAAAAAGGTTTGACATTTACTTGAAAAAGTAATTATTTTTTCGCCTAAATAATTCAATTTATTTTTTTTAAGTAAATAACTTAAAAAGCCGGCCATTTTTTGAAATTCAAAATAAAGAAGTCAAACATTGCGGGCTAACTAGATTTTCGTTCAATATCTACTATATATTGGGTCAAACATTCCGGGCTTTAGTTTGTAGAAATATTGCTGGACGATTCTCTAAATATTACCCAATTTAATTAACCCAACTGTCATGGAAATATTGCTGGACGATTCTTCAAAACATCTTCCAACCTTCCCAATTCATTGTGCAACCAAGTCAAACATTGCGGCGATTGGCATGAAAATATTGCTGGACGATTCTCCAAATATTAACCCAATTTAATTGACCCAATTGTCATGGAAATATTGCTGGACGACTCTTCAAAAGATCTTCCAAACTTCCCGATTCATTGTGCAACCAAATCTACAACAATCATATCATATTCATATAATAATGAATCTGAATAAATTAATTATTTTGAGATCGTATCGAATTTCATATATTTGGACGTGATTAGCAAGGATATTTAATTGAAATTACATCTCTCTCACTATTAAAATTATATAATATTCTATTAAATCAATTTATAATTATTGCCTTTCTTAAGATATTTTTATATCACTTATTTATGGAACGAAACTAAAATATACCTTGGCCTTCTATAAATTCATTGTTAGAATGTTGTTTACTCATCACTCTCAATTTTAGCTATTTAGTACACAAACCAATAAAAAATGAATCGGCTAGAATTTGGTACGATCAAAGATGTTACGAGAACAAAAAATTACCAATGAAATTATTTCACACAGATTTGAAGCTGCTATTTCACACAGATTTGAAGCTGCGTGGAAGAATTACGAGGAAATCTTTTTCCACGATGGAGAGGTTGTTTCGATTTTATTCGTATTTGTTTATATAAATTTATATTACTCTTTGCAATGAAATCATTCATGTACTTATGCTTAATTTTTTTTTTTAATGAAGAAAAATAACAAATACCAAGTGGAGAACAACTTTGGTTCATTTCAACTTGCAATTGGCGACTTTAAATTTGTTATCAATGGTACTACAAGTTTTGTTAGGTTCAAAGGTGACTTTATTATAGATAGATTTTATCATGTAAATCTATTTAGGATTCATTTAACTATACACACGAGTTGTTTTTCTTAAACATACTTTATTATAGATGGATTTTAACATTACTTTGTATATCTATATATATATAAAGAGGGAGTTGATGGAATTTATTGCTAAATATAGATGATATGCAATGACTGTAATTGGTAACATTTCTACATTTGGTTGGGTAATTGTAAGGTTAATTATTTTTGCTAAGAATGCCAAATAATAATGGAAAATGCATTAACTTAACTAAATTCGTATTCAATTATTTTTGGTTATTTTTAAGAATGGAAAATAATAATTGTAAGTTAACTTACCCAATTCATTCCGTTTAGAAATTTAACAATAATATTTATATTTTTTTACAATATATTTAAAAATATATAGCATCAACTACGCTTAACAATATTCCAATTATTTGATACCTTAAATATATTTAATATCATGAAATCTACATATGTCATTACTGTGTTTTTTAAGACAGTCGTATTAGTTTATGCTAACATAGCCATACCTATTAGTTTATGCTAACATTATGTATAGATCCAAAAAACATGTTAAAGAAAAAAAAATATTTATTATGAATAACCTATTTAAATTAAGTTATTATATGAATACATGATAATCGTGAATGATTAACAAAATACATGAATCATATTAATGTCAATAAAATTAAGCAATATTAATGGTGCTTGCTTAACTAAATACACCCAAACTTACCAAGATACTCGAGTACAGAATAGGAGTAATTCACGCTATAAATCTCATTTCCAAAATCTGTGTCATCATATTGTTCTTTCATAATTCAAGAAGAATGAAATCTACATTAATATCCCACAATTTTTGCGCAAACCAAGTTTTTTCAGAGACGTTAATTAATTTTTTTATTTTGGTCTCTAATTACTATTTTTCATATCTTTTTTTAAATATTTAAACTTTTGGAAATCCAATATATAAATCAGTTAATAAAAGAATCAAAAAGGTTTTTTTTCGAAACATGATTATTGCGATCAAAATATGTTATCCACATCAAATGTTGGTGTTGTGTTCGAAACCAAGTTTTTTCAGAGACGTTTATTATTTTTTTATTTTGGTCTCTAATTACTATTTTTCATGACTTTTTCAATACATAACGTTTGTTTCGAAACATGATTATTGCGAAGAAAGTATGTTATCCACATCAAATGTCGTTGTTGTGTTCTAAACTAAGTTTTCTCGAAGACGTTGATTAATTTTTCTATTTTGGTCCCTTATTACTATTTTCTATGGCTTTTTTCAATACATAAACATTGGTTTTGAAACATGATTATTGTGATGAAAATATGTTATCCACATTGAATGTTGGTGTTGTGTTCGAAACCAATTTTTTTCAAGGACGTTGATTAATTTTTTCTATTTTGGTCTGTAATTACTATTTTCCACGGTTTTTTTTCAATACTAAACTTTTGTTTTGGAACATGATTATTGCGATAAAAATATGTTATCCACATTGAATGTTGGTGTTGTGTTAGATACCAAGTTCTTTCGGAGACGTTGATAAATTTTTCTATTTTGGTCTCTAATTACTATTTTCCATGGGTTTTAGTTTTAATACATAAAATTTTTTTTTGGAAACTTGATTTTTGCGATGAAAATATGTTATCCACATCAAATGTTGGTGTTTTGTTCGAAACCAAGTTTTTTTCAATTACGTTAATTAATTTTTCTATT